CTCTTTGGTTAGTCTTTCAACTTAGACTTAGAGAGTTTGTTAACTCTATGTAAGTACCATAGTTATGGATACTTACTTCCCTTTGGAACCTTGACCACAATCAAGAGTTCCTCACCCCTAGTTAGGTGAACTACGAAGACTCTGATTTCTCATTCCTAGTTAGGATATATAGGCACAAGATGCAATATCTTGGCGAGCCCACTAACATACTAACAACTAACTCCCTTATCATACGTCGCCGTACGATCGAGACTAGTTTACCTTACCCTTTATCCTACCCTTAGGATTAGAGCCTCCGTACTATATGTGAGTGTCATGGTTATGAACATTTACTTTCCCATTTTATCATAGCCTTAGGATTTGGAGTCGCTGCACTCCATGTAAGTGTCATGGTTATGAACACTTGCTTCCCTTTGGAACCTTGACCATAGTCAAGAGTTCCTCACCCCTAGTTAGGTGAACTATGAATGTGCTGATTCCATCCTAGTCAGGATACGTAGGCACGTGATGCGATGTCTTGGGGAGCGTACTTAGTATATATACCCTAGGTCTTTACCTTAGCATTTTTTCCTTAGCAAGCAAACATTAGCATAACACAGATACTAACAAGAGGTTCTTGTAGAGTACTACAGATACTTAGGATGCTAGCATCTTCCCTAGGTATAACCAACCCCCAAACCTTAGATTCTCTTAGCTTTGTTGTTATATAACACACTTAGGATTTTATTTGATCTTTACCCTTTCCTTTGGATAAATTAAAGCTCGGTGGTGAACCTCAAGATTTATGATTCAAGTTAACTCAATAGCTCGACATCTGATTCTCACTGCAACAAGAACCGTTGTGAATACTTTTCCTTGGTTATTCTTCACGAACCCAAAAGGAGAGTTTTTCTTCAATTATGGAGCTCAAGAACTAAATAGACACTTATAGTGATCCCCAGAGGATCTTTTATACAGGATTAGCTCCAAACTAAAAAGGTTACTTCCGAATGAAGAATAATTTACTCAAGAGGAAAAAAAACTCTTGATAAATTTATAATAATGCCTTCCTCTTAGAACATTTTCCTCACTAAACTCAATAACACTATCAAAACATTATTGGTAAAGATGTGAGAGAAAAAGAAGTGTTTTTAGAGAGATTAAGAGAAAGGATAAATAATCCATGGGAAAAATAAACGATCTAATCGATTAGCTAATTGATTAGGTACACGCAATAATCGATTATTTCTGCATAAATTGGAAGATTTTGATAAAGAGTGTTTACCATTCATTAAGACGATGTCATAATCTATTATTGCTTCCCAAATTGGAATATTTTGATAGAGACTCATTACCATTCATTAAGATAATGTCATAATTGATTATGGACTTATTTTTCCCTCATCTAATCGATTAGGTATTTAATCTAATTGATTAGTCAGTCACCATCATCAGAGAGATGTAAGGATATCATTGATGATTATAAACCCTAATATTTAAACTTGATTAAGATAAATAGGTTGGTCAACCATCTTGTACATCTCTGATCGATTAAGCTAACTTCAATCATTGCTTAACTTTATGCATTGCTAATTGCAGGTGTGATCAAAAAACCATGACATCATCAATGTTAGACATATCTAGCTTATATATGAGTTTTGATCACTACTTGATTACACCTCTAAGCACATAGTTCCACAAAACGACATAGAAAAATTTACAAAAAAGAACATTTACAACACAATAATTTTATGTTAAAACGTCAAAATAGGAGAAAACCCATAGTCTTATCAAATGACAACCAGAGCATTACACTATTTGAAAATTGTTACAACTTATAAAATACTCTCAAACACCACACAATCCCCAATAGACTCACACTCTCCAAAATAAATGTCTAACTACATATGAAAATACTATGACATAAGATTATAAGAGAAAAGAAAAAGAAAAAAAATCAGATAAGAACTTAAAGTACTTCTAACGGATTCATTTTGTTTCCCTTACAATATATTGTAGTATGAGATTATTCTAACATGTATATTTTCTTCGGCTTGTAGGAGTCTTTCTTGTTGTTGCGCTTGCCTTGGCTTGAACACGTAGTATGGTAATGACCATATTTCCACATTATAATAAGTAACTTCACTATCTTCCTTTTTTATTTTCTTCTTTCTTATGTGGATGATATTTCTTAAAGTTAATCATATTTTTGTTTGAATGTTTAAGACATTGTTTCTTTATACATCTATTATAAAGTTTGACGAATAAACCCATTTCTTCCTCCTTAGAAGAATATTTGTCGAAACTGTCATCATATTTCTCTAATTTTCTTGCCTTAGAAAAGGAGGCTTTCAAGGAGATGTCCTATTTTTCTTCTTTTACTTTCATTTTCTTTTTATTATTGACTTCACTTGCAACAAGTCTTTTCGATTCATTGTCATGCTTAGTAAGTTTTACAAATAAAATTGAAACATCCAAAGTTTTATGTCGTGTGATCCTTAATGGAGGTTACCTTAGGTTGTCAATCCTTTCACCTTAAATCAAATTTTAGGGAGGATTTAAAAGGCTTACTTTAGGATATATCATAAGGAGATAAGTTTTTTCTAGGAGGATATCTAAATGGTCATGTAGGGAGCGTAATAAGAGGTTTTGAGAGCGTGCATGAGGGGTATGGTCTAGGGGGTGTGAATGAAGAAGGTAAATTCATCTTATAGTTCTAGTACTTACTATAACATATACCTGATTTAGGAAAAGAGATGAGTATCTTATCACATATAAAAGTGGGATGACATGTTCTCAAATATTATTCTTCCTTATTAGGAAGTCATATAGGAAGATTTGCTTAGACTGTAAAGTTATTCAGGGTGAGAGCTTGACTATCCAACATAGCGTATTGGTTATGGATTTAAGAATAAATGGGAAAGAAAAAAGAAGAAGTCAAATGGGAGCGCCACAGATTAGGTGGTGGCATTTGAAGGGTGAAAAATAAGAAGTTTTCCAACACAAATCTTGGAGGAAGAGTTTGGGGAAGTGTAAATGATATGTGAAATAAGATGACTCAAGATATTAGAAAAGTGGCTAAAGAGAAACAAGATAAAATGATATGAAATCTCACTGGACTCTAGCAGACTCGATATTATAGAAAATGACCAAAACTATAATTACTATCATCGGATCATAAACAAGAGGTAAAAAAGCATTGAAAATGATGAGTAACAATAATGCGGTAGGGCCAAACAATATACCTATTGAAATATGGAAAATTCTTAGAGAGAGAAGTATTGAGCGGCTCACCAAACTCTTTAATGAAACTATGATATCAAAGAAAATGGTGGATGGATGGAGAAGAAGCATTTAGTTCCAATCTATAAGAACGTCAGGTATATATAAAATTGTGCAAATTATATAGAGATTAAGGTTATGAGTCATACCACGACGTTATGGAAAAAGTAATTAAATAAAGACTAAGAAAAAAGACTCAAGTTATGGAGAATCAATGCGGTTTTATGTCGGGAATGTCGACTATGAAAGCGATCTATCTACTATGACGTGTGATAGCGTAGTATCGAATGTACCAACAAGGCTTGTACTTAATTTTTATTGACTTGGAGAAGGCCTATGATAGAGTGCCTAGAGATATTTTTGTGAAAATTCCCAAAGAAGAAAAGGGTTAGAATTGCATGTATTTGAGCTATCCAAAATATGTATGAAGAGGTATTGACTAGCGTGTGAACACGGGGTGGGGAGGCAAACGATTTTCCCATTCAGGTTCAACCCTAAGCCCCTACCTTTTACCTTAATTTTTGATGTACTCATAGAAAACATCCAAGATCTAACACCGAGATGTATGTTTTTTTGTAGATGGATACTTGGAGAGTCATGGGAGGAAGTAAATGAGAGGTTGGAGACAAATTTTAGAAACACGTGGTTTTCGCCTAAGTAGAAATAAGACGGAGTATATGGAATGTTAGTTCAACAAAAGAATAAGTGTTTCTAATCTAGAGGTGAAAGTTGGAGACCATATCATCTCTCAAGTCACACAGTTTAAATATTTGGGTATGCAATACAAAATGATGAAGAAATAAAAGGAGTTGTAAACCATCGAATTCAAGCTAGGCGGCTGAAATGGATGAAGGTTTTAGGTATTTTATGTGATAGTTGAATGGAAAATTTTATCGGACCGCAATAAGACCTGCGATGTTGTACGAGACATAATGTTATACGCTTAAGAATTAACACAAGAATAAAATAAGTGTTAACGAAATGAAGATGTTGTGTTTGATGTGTGGTAAGACTAGAAATGATAGGATTAAAAATGAAATACTACAAAGAGTGTTATGGTAACACAAATAGTAGAGAATATGGTGTAAAATAGATTTAGGTGATTTCAGCACGCAGATAAAAGGTCTGTAGATTTTCTGATAAGGAGAGTAGATCAGACGGACAGAAGTCAAACAACCAGATGAAGAAGAAGATTTATAAAGATTATAAGAGAAATTATTAAGAAAGATCTCGAGTTAATCCATATAACATATTTCACCTACTAGAATAAGACTTGATTGTTGTTTTTAAATTTATCGAACAATTAATATATCCGACACGTAAAATATACTAAATCCATTAATTATTTAAGAAATTTAAAATAAAAACTTTTGTTATAACAAAATAAGACAAAAGGGAGAGTACTATTTTATCTTAACACAATGGTTTAAGACAAAAAAAAACATATTTTAAAACTACAAAGTATAATATACATTATCTAAAAATTAATATACATTATCAAGGCAATACAAGTTTCTACACTTACCCAAAATAAGTAAGAGTTTATAAATTAAAATAAGAGTCACATTCATTATCACTTAAAATAAACCATAAAATTTAGTTTATAAAAAATAGAGAAAGTGGTAGGCTATAAGAAAGGAGAGAAGAAAGGAACGTGTTGTTGGGTCGCTGTGTCTGTCTCAGAAATTAGTTACGAAGAAGAACAGAGCCAACCAGCACCACGTCAATCGAGATCCAATATGGACTCTTCTTCTCCTTGGAACGCTCTTCTCTCCTTTTCAACCCTCACTTCCTCCAAATCCTATCTCTCCGCTCTTCAATCCAGATCAGGTTTTCTCATTTTCCATTTCTTCACTTTCACTTTCCTTATTCTGCACTAACTCTTTTTTTTCTTCAATTTTGTGTGTTAATGTAGATATGTTTATGGATGGTTTTGATGAAAATGATATTGATGTTGATGCTGATGATGATGATGTGAAGGAGGAGTTTTTGTGTCCCTTTTGTTCTGAGTATTTTGATATTGTTGGATTGTGCTGCCACATTGATGATGAGCATCCTGTTGAAGCCAAAAATGGGGTATCAAATTATTCCAATCTTTTCACATTGTAGTTTTTGTTATCTAGACAAAGTTTATGCCTTGTCATCGGCATCGAGTATAGACCCTCGAGTTGAGAGTTTAGGTTTCAACTGAGGTTTTACTCATTAAATTATCACTCTCTCTCCAATTTAGTCCCCTAATATCTTAATAACAGGGTTTTAGTTGTATATACTTTGGGGACCACTCCCTCCATTTCTTCTTATAAGGAAAAGAAATGACTTTTTAGATTCATTAAATAACTGATGTGTCTGGATTATATATAGATCAGTTACACTTATATCGGTTATTCAATGAATCTAAGAAGTAGATTTTTGTTTATGATAAGGAATGAAGGGAGTAATTGTTATCTCACTTAGTGAGATAAGACTTGGTGGTTGTTGTTGATGTAGTGACTAGGGACTACTTATTGTATTTACATGGTTTAGGGACTAAATTGGAGAGAGTGATAGTTTAGGGATTAAATTGATGTTTTATATCTCAAGAGGACTACTAGGTAATGAAGTTTGTTTGACATTTTATTAATTTTAAAGCTAATTATTTTTATTTTTATTTGGGACTATTTGTTATTTAGGGAAGTTGTTCTGTTTTGAATTATGTTATGCTAGATTATATTACGCTGTCTCATCAGGATGTTTGTCTATTTTGAATTATGTTAAACATTTGCCAGACTTGCATATTTTATTTCCTTTAGAGAATGTCTAAAACCAAGTCACAGAAGTTTTCTAGGTTTATTTGTTTGTAGAGTCAGAGTGCCGTGTGTTGTCGATGGCAGATGGTGGTTCATGGTGGAGAGCCAAAATCCCACCATACCGGCCGCTTTGTGGCAGAAAACCCACAAGATTGACCGATGTTTACCATTGCACCAAGCCCAAAAACTGCTACTGATATCTGCCATGGCGATATTTGATAACACTTAGAGTACTCTACCTAAAAGATGTACTCTTGGTTACTGTTCTACATCCAAAAAATTATATATGTATTTTTTACTCTTATCCCCCGCGTTATTTAATTCTATATAGTCTTTGATATCTGTCTGTTCAGGTTTGTCCCGTTTGTGCATTAAGGGTGGGGGTTGATATGGTTGCACACATTGCCCTACAACATGGAAGCATACTTAAGATATCCTTTTCTCTTTTAGTTAATATTTGTTTCTACCAACTCTTACATGGTCTTGTATACTATCATGTCTTTCAAGTTTCAAACTTAATCCTGGTTCATTAAAATGTAATTGAACTATTTTTCTTCTGTAACATTTTTCCAACAGTATACTTTTGTTAAGGTTAATCAAAAGTTTTTAACCTAACCCTCTTGCATACTGGCCAAGTATAACGTTTTCTAAATGAATTATTGGTTTAAAATATATGTGTAGTTTAGTCATGCCCTACTCATGTGTGTTTATAATCTTATATGTTCTACCCTTTGTCGTTGCCTTTGTCGAATATACATGATTATGTATGTAAAGGAAGGAACATTAAAGTTTTGTAGTCAATTACATCATAACACTGGCACTAGAAGTTGTTTCTAGTTTAATTATCTCATGTTATTGCATTATTGTGTTGTATTGATATTAAAATCAGGGTGGTAGTGGTATGCTGTATATTGTAAATTGTATTCTTTAACTAGTGAATACATGCAGCGAAAGAGGAAATCACGAAAAGGTGGATCTTATTCAACACTATCTTTATTGAGGAAGGAGCTGCGAGAAGGAAATTTGCAATCCCTTTTGGGTGGGTCTTCATGTACATTGTCATCGTCTAATGCAGCCCCTGATCCATTGTTATCATCATTTATATTGCCCGTAGCTGATGAATTATCGAGTTCTCAGAGTCAACCTAACTTTCTTACCGGGACAAGGCAATCCAGAAAAAGCTCGGATGAGACTCTATCAAAAGAGTAAGTCTATTTCAGTTGTCAATTTCTTTTTCTTTATTAAAAAAATGGTCACTACCTTTTCATGAACATATGCTTAATTTTGCTCGTATTCCTGAATGTGGTGGTGATGTCACATTGTTTGCTTCTGCTGCCTTTCATGCAAGTTTTAGGTATGGCCTGTGTTTTGTTGGGATTATAAAACTAGGTTAGGTGCCTAATGATTTCTACCCTTACAACTAGGCTTATCCTATGGTGCACAATTAATATAGGTATTGCACCAGGCACACCTTCCCACTACTCAACCAATAAATCCCCCCACATTTGATGATACACTATTGACATCAAATCTTTCCCCTCTTTCTCTCAGTCACATGTCCTCGTGTTGAAAAGGGATATAAAGGGAACTCTACATCCTTTGGCAACCACGAGATGCATATCGGAACCGGCGAGAAGCAGACAATAATTTTATTCTAGTATTGACTGAAATGTAACATAAGTATTGTGATTTTGATATGAACTAACAGAGCAGTAATCAATAATCAATGTAGCAGTAAAATAGTTATGAAAATATGAGGAAAAGAAGCCTTATTGATGAAAATGGAAAACAAGTACAGGGAATGGAATTTTGTCAATCCCAAAATGGGCCCAGAGCTACGCTCCTATAGGATACTAGAGTATCCTATTCATTCCTTCCAGATCTAGCTACAATCCAGGATGATTATTCCCTCTACTGACAGCTCCTTATATTGTGGAAGTGTACTGCTCCTCTCTTTCATGCCACCTCATGATTGCTAACTAACTCAGCCTCCAATTCCCTTTTTACCCCTTTTAGAATAAACTTTCCAAACTCTGGGACCAGTAGAGGAGTGGTGAATTAATTGTCCTGATAACTGTAAATTATTATCACTGTTTCTATCAATACTCCTCTCTTCAACTGGAACCTTGTCCTCAAGGTTGAATTGTGGAAATTGACTTTTGAGCATGACATAGTCCTCCCAGGTAGCTTCCTCTATTGTTTCCCCCTTCCAATGGATAAGTAATTGTGTCACCTCTTCACCTTGCTTCTGTACCTTCCTTACAGCCAGCACAGTTTCAGGTTCAAACACCTCTTCCTGCTCTCCTGCCATAAGGTCGGGCAGCTCTTCATTCTCATGGTACTGTCCCCCAACTTTTTTCAATAATGATACATGGAACACTGGATGAACTCTAGAACTTATTGGCAATTTCAGTTTGTAGGCGACAACTCCGATTCTTTCCGTAATAGGGTAAGGCCCATAGTATCTAGCAGCTTAACAAAGACCCATTCTCCTACTTCAAAACTCCTATCACTTCTCTTCTTATCAGCCTGAGCCTTCATTCTATCTTGTGCTCTATGCAACTGACTTTTCATCTGTCTGATAGCCTCATCCCTTTCTACTAAGTCTCTCTGCACTGCCTCAACCCTTGTCTCTCCTTGACCCCATCTACCCATCACAGGAGGAGGTCTACCATAGACTAGTTCAAAAGGGGTGTGCTCTGTAGTAGTGTGAAATGAAGTATTGAACCACTACTCAGCCCAATGTAACCATGACATCCAAGTCTTGGGCTGATCAGAGATGAATCATCTAAGGTACGTCTCTAAACACCGGTTAACTACCTCTGTCTGACCATTGGACTCCGGGTGGTAGGCCGAGCTCATTTTGAGTTGAGTTCCCTGGGCCTTAAACAATTCTCTCCAAAAATTGCTCATGAAGATGGGGTCTCTATCACTCACTATAGACGTAGGTATCCCATGCAACCTGACTACTTCCTTGCTAAAAATCTCAGCCAAACTTCTAGCCATATAGGGATGCTTAAGAGGAATAAAATGACAATATTTAGACAGCCTGTCCACTACTACGGAAATAGCTTCATACCCCTTGGATTTTGGCAAGCCGGTGATGAAATCCATAGAAATGTCTTCCCAAATGCGTTCTGGTATGGGCAGAGGTTGCAACAAGCCCCCCCGGAGAAGAATCCAAGTATTTTTTCCTTTGGCAAACATCACAGCTTCTTAAAAATTCCTGCACTACTCCCTTCATTCCTACCCAATATACATTTGCCGCCAACCTTCTATATCTCTTGTAGAACCCCAAGTGCCCTCTTTGTGGAGTGCTATGGAACTCTTTCAATAGCGTAGGAATCATGGCTGAATGTCTTGAAAGGACTAGTCTTCCATCATACATTAAGACTCCATGTTTATAGACATATCCAGATTTGGACACCGGATCTTGTGACAGTTCAGCTATTATTTTATGTAATGTCTCATCATTCTGCACCTCTTCCTTCATTAATTGTGTCTGATCCCATTGTAGAAAAGATGTGATACTCCTCAACTCCATTCCCTCGAGCATTCTAGACAAGGCATCAACTCCTCTATTTAATTTGCCTTGCTTATAGACAACCTTAAAATCATAACCAAGTAGTTTTGCAGCCCAGTTTTTCTACTCTGCAGTAGAGATTCTCTGTTGCAACAATTGCTTCAGGCTCTTTTGGTCGGTAGAGACAATGAATTTCCTGCCAAGGAGGTAGGGTCTCCAATGTTGTATAGCCAACCCCAATGCCATAAGTTCTTTCTCATATGCAGATTTGGATAGATTTCTTACTCCCAACACCTTACTAAAGTAAGCTATTGGCCATTTTTCCTGCATTAGAATTGCCCCTATACCACTGCCAGAGGCATCACACTCGATTACAAATGGCTTACTAAAATCAGGTAGAGCCATGACAGGTGCTGTAGTGAGCTTCACCTTCAACTCTTCAAAAGCTCTTTGAGTTTCATCTCCTCACTTAAACCCATCTTTCTTTGTCAACTTTGTTAACGGTTTACCTATCCTGCCATAGTGTTTGATAAACTTCCTGTAATATCCAGTCAGATAAACTTCCTGTAATATCCAGTCAGCCCTAAGAATCCTCTGACTCCCTTCACATTCTTAGGGGTAGGCCATTGGGTCACACTAACTACCTTATTAGGGTCCACAGCTACTCCCTCTTGGGATATGACATGCCCCAAGTAGTCAATGAATTTCTGAGCAAAGAGACACTTCTTCTTGTTGGCTACTAACCCATTGTTATCTAACACTTGCAACACAATTTGCAAATGTTGCAAATGAGTCTCCCAATCATCATTGTATACTAGTATATCGTCGAAGAAAACCAACACATATTTCCTAAGCATGGGTTTAAACACTTCATTCATGAGGCTTTGGAATGTGGAGGGTGCGTTCATAAGGCCAAATGGCATGACTATTCATAGTGTCCCGCATAACTTGGGGGTTGTGATTAGTCATCTGATCCAAATGCATCAAACTCATCTCTCCCATCTCATCGTCATCCGCCTCATTCACTTCGATCGCCAATACTTGACCATCTTGCTCCTCTGTATCACTGTCATCAACAAGAAGGATTCAGAGGTGTTTATCGGGGCATTGATGTGTAGGGGAGAAAGACCCCTTACATTTGAAGCAAAGACCCTTTTGTTTTCTATCCATCAATTCCTGGTAGGATAAATGTTGAAATCCACGATCACGAGGCCCATTTCTTCTCTTATCTCCATGGGTTGTTCTTTCTTCTCTAAGCCCAACAGGGTTGCTTTTAGAGCCCCCACTCACTCCACCTTCTTTATTCTTCACTAAAACTCAATCTGAATTTCCTCGACCCGCTCCATGAGTTCTGGGTCAGTGTGACCCGTTTCCAGATTTGAACCCCCTACTACTAGATGATCCATTTTCTCCACATATTTCCTTCTCCACCGCACACGTCACCTGTAACAGTGCGCGACTCATTTCCCCCATAGCTACGAAGCTGTGAACTCGACTTCTAATCTCCGCCTTCAATCCGTGAAGAAAATATCCCAAAAATTGCTTGTCAGGCAATTTCGGAATCTGAGCCATAAGATACTCAAATTCGGTGATGTATTCTTCTACTGTCCCACTTTGTTTCAGACCTGTTAACTGCTTATACATCACCGTCGCCGTGCCCACCATATCTGGCCAACAGTGACTCCTTCCGCTTCTCCCACGACAAACCTTCATCTTCTCCTGCCAGAGAATTGAAGAAATGAATCGTAGCTCCTTCCACACACAACTGAGCTAGATTCACCTTCAACTCCGGTAGCGTCCCCTGAACACGGAAATACACTTCATCGCGCGAAATCCACCCCGCTGGATCTTCGCCGTTGAAGGACGGTAGCTCCACCTTTTTGATGGATTGACGAAACTCAGTCAATGCATCACCACTGAGGTTGCGAAGCCCGGATCCGGAGGAATCCTCCTTCCCCGATGATTGTCGCCCTTTGTCATTCGCACTACCTTCTCCTTCCAGCATCGTCTTGCCTAGACACCGTTCAAACATGGCCATGAGGCTCTCATGGCTACTCTTCACCGCATTCTGGACGTCTAACAACGTCAACTTTACCTCCGATATCTCGCTTTCTAACGCCGCTACCTTCACATCCATCTTAACAAACTCCGAGTAGCTAACCTTCTTTGGGGGCATTCACTGGTTCCGGGAATGAGATCCGGTAGGTCAGACCAGTTTGATATGAACTAACAGAGTAGTAATCAATGTAGCAGTAAAACAGTTATGAAAATATGAGGAAAAGAAGCCTTATTGATGAAAATGGAAAACAAGTACAGGGAATGGAATTTTGTCAATCCCAAAATGGGCCCAGAGCTACGCTCCTATGGGATACTAGAGTATCCTATTCATTCCTTCCTTCCAGATCTAGCTACAATCCAGGATGATTATTCCCTCTACTGACTGCTCCTTATATTGTGGAAGTGTACTGCTCCTCTCTTTCATGCCACCTCATGATTGCTAACTAACTCAGCCTCCAATTCCCTTTTTACCCCTTCTAGAATAAACTTTCCAAACTCTGGGACCAGTAGAGGAGTGGTGAATTAATTGTCCTGGTAACTGTAAATTATTATCACTGTTTCTATCAGATTTCTTCCTTATATTTCAGTTTCAACGAATTTGCAAAGAGGGTGCTCCTTTTATGGTGATGCTGCCCCTTGTTCTTTGCCAATCAACACCACGAAAACAGGAAATAAACAATATACAAATTAACTTCTTTTCAACTCAGAAACAACTCAAGAATAGGAACATGGTAGAAACTGGTACCAATATTAATAATTTTTGAAGAAAAGAGTATTATGGCAGAATTTGATCCATGCAGCCAACCTCACTTAGTGAGATAAGGCTTGGTTGTTGTTGTAGAAGCAAAGAGCAATTTTATTATAATTGAATCCTGGAAATCTGTATTGAAACAGAGGACCAATGGAATTACAGAGTATCACAACAGAAAACTGATATAGAGACACTAATAACAGATTGGTACGCGGTTCCAGAAATTCAAGAGTCTAGGTGTCTCCCTCCCATTGCCACTTAATAACTATCCAATAACCACTTCCCCCTTCCCCCTTCCTTTCTCTATTTATTCCTAAAAAATAATATAACCAACAAAAATAGAAACATAACTGCCGTATTGAGTAGACTAACAATACCCCCCACCCCACTGAGAATCACCTTGTCCTCAATACTGTTTCAGCCAAGGCTTGTATTGTCTTCGTGTTTCAAGCACTCCCTGCGTTCTAATTCCATATTCTGTTCCATTTAGAAGAAAACAACAATTTTATTATAATTGAATCCTGGAAGTCTGTATTAAAACAGAGGAACAGTGGAATTATAGAGTATCTCACCAGAAACTGAAACAAAATACTGACATAAAAACACTAAGAACAAATTGGCATGCGGTTACCAGAAAATTCCCTAAAATAAATTCTAGAGTCTTGGTCTCTCCCTTCCAAGAATTAGATAACTTTGGCCCCCTCCCATAGCCACTCAATAACTATCCAGTAAGCACTTCCTCCTTCCTTTCTCTATTTATTCCTAAATATAGATAACATAACTGACAAATGATAGAAACATAATTGCCATAATAAGAAGTCTTACAAAGCAAAATTGAAATCAAATTCAACAATAACAGGATTATCATCAAATAGAGGTGAACATGGAGATAAACAAAAACAAAACAGATACAAATGGCGTGCAGATGGAGGTGACCCTGCGCAAGGTTACATAAATGGAGGTTGTAGGCGGAAACAAGAATGGAGGCGCAACTAGAAACACGAACAGAGAAGGGAGTCACTAATATATGTACATGAGCGGCAACTTGAGGTGCAGAGTTGGGATTGGCGACCGTAAATGTGTTAGCGGGACAGTGAGTCACCTAGGGTGCGTAGCTGCACAAGCAGAGGTGTGACTGGGGTTCCCAACCTAGAGTTCCATTTCTCTTTACTTCACAACTTTGTTTGCTTCATTGTGTCCATGTTGCTGCAACAGAGGTAGGAGTTTTAGATTTCCGGTGTTAGCGCCGTCTTGCAGTGGTGGGTCACATGAGGGAGAGGGGGGAATTCAGGATGTAAGGTTTGCAATAAATTTAGTGAGATTGACTGATCCAACAGCAAATCAATGTTGTGCAGCATACACAACATATTTACCTATTGCACCGTAAAATTCGCCTTACAACTAATTTCATGATCATTATGATTACTCATAATTTTATTGGGATATTTGTCTGTAAATCCTGTGTCTTGCAACAGTTCTTGTACTTCCAAAGATGAAGACAGTCTCGAATATTACTTGACCACTGACCCTGAACATATGAAAATTTGAACTTGTAGTACATAAATATTTTTCCCGCTTTCCCAGAGGCTAATAGATTTTTGATATGCTGAGGTAGGTTGTCTGATGCAAATGTTTTTGAAAAGCTAAATGAAAAACTCATGAATGTTTCATTTTAGCAGATAAAGCATGTTGGACAGATGCTGTGCATTGTAGACAAATATGTTTAGTTGACCATTTTTGTGTGCTTGAACTGTCTCCCTCACACATCCCTAATAAACTGCGTGATTTTACGGATCTGGAACCCTGCTTGGTGCTGCATACTGCACAGCCTCTGCAGAGGTTAGATTCAGGCAGAGTTATCGATAGCGGCGCTATCCCCTCCGTGATTTGATGTTTAGCGGCTACTATTTGATGTTTAGTGGGGTAGCGGGAGCTAGGTGCTTCCCGGCCCGATCGGGTTTGAACTGTTTTGAACGCGAAAACCCAGATTTACCCTTAAAAAAATAATTCTGGTTTGATTTTACATCTGTTTTTCATTACCTCAGTTTTTTTAAGTAATAGTCATTTAATGATTCAATTCCTCTTCCTTTTTTGTTTGTTTGGTTTTATATTCAATATATGTTTTATAGATTGTTCATATAATTAGTCTAAAAAATAGTTAAATAGTGGTTATCCCGCTATCCGTTATCCTGCCATACCATTTTATCTACTTTAAAATATGATTTTTTTATGCCATTAAAAGTATGTCATCTCTGTGATGTTCAACACGTTTCGGTGCCTTGTTGCAAAAGAATGAGTTGTTGTTCCTTGCCAATGACATGTTTTCAGACAGCATACATGAATGCATTCTCAACCGTCTCTGTGTACCTTATAGTTTTTAAAACGTGTTTATTGTTTCTGTTCAGAAAAGTGGAGACACCTACCTTGTCAGTCAAGGATAAGGAAGAAAAAGAAAAAAGATGCGAGTTTGTTCAAGGGCTATTGCTGTCCACCTTCCTAGATGACATTTCATGAAGGAAATCCGTCGGCGATGATTGCTTGTTGCTCTGCAGTGGTGTCGGGATTCTTCATCACGCACGCGACCCCTACATCCTATGGTAATTAATGCTTAGTAAAGTTGTGAATGTATTTGATCTTAGTGAAATAAGAGGTGGAGAATGTATGTAATTTATGTTGTATGAACTGAAGTTTGGAGTTCAAATGTTTCATATGTCCTTTAATTTCAGACCATCAATATTGAATGAAAATAGAGAAAGTTACTTTCATACTGTACATGACATTCACATTTGTCTTAGGATTCTTTGTGATATCATTGTTGGCTGTCACACTGATGTCAAAAATGGCTGCAATTTCCCTCCAATTTTCCATGCATCATCATACTCTTTAACTCCTACAAAAGTATTAATTACAGATTTTTAGATGGTTGAACCACTAGACTGAAAAATCATATATGTACAGTAAAAATAGAACGATAATAAGATAAAATGGTGTAAACAACTTGTTTTGTTTTTACAGGTTCATAATTTTATGCGTAAAAACTATTTTTATTGCCTAAAACGATTTGACATGTATAATTTAGCATTGCTCGACTAATAACTAATGCAATGCGTGTTTTTCCAGCTGCTTGGGGATACATAGCGACCCATGTTCAATCTTTTCTTTCCTCTTCCATGATATTCTTTGTTTCTCGGCTTAATTACAACTTTGGTCTTCCTATTTTGTGTTTTTTTGGGTTTTGATCCCCCATTTTAAAAACCACCATTTAGGTCTCCATTTTAAATTGAGTTTGATATTAGTCTCCCTGTCATTTTAAGTCATATTTTTAATGATGTGGCGCGTTGAATGAAGATGTGACATTTACATGTCATTTTAAAATGGTCTTACTCACCAAATATCATTTCCATGTCATTTATTTTTTTATTTCATTTTTCAGAAAATTAAGTTCAATCCTACTTTAGCCTAACATGTATTTTCAAACCCATTTTTTCAACCATTTCTTCAAACCCAGTTTAGGAATGAAGATTCTTACTCTTCCCCTTTCAAGGTGCTGGTCGTGAACAATTCACACATCTTAGAAGCTATGGTGAGGAGTTGTTAAAGTCAAATCCAAACTCCACTATTAAAATTAAGTGTGATGATTCAGATGGTGATCCTATCTTTAAAAGAATATATGTATGCTTAGAAGCTTGTAAGGCAACGTTTGCAACGACTCGTAGGCCTCTAATAGGATTGGATGCTTGTTTCTTAAAGGGGATTTTGGAAGTCAGTTAATAGGTGTTGTTGGTAAGGATGGAAATAACAAGATTTATCCAATCGCTTATGCTGTCGTGGAAGCTGAAACGAAAGACTCTTGGTAATGGTTCCTGATGCGTCCGCAAGTGCACAGAAATATCGAAGTAATATAAAAGATTTGTCGAACCCACAGAGACCAATGTCAACCTACTGTTATCTATTGTTGCGGCGCAAAGTTAAGGCTAATGGAATTAGGAAGGTTAAATGCGAATGAAATTAAATGCAAAGGAAATAAAGATTTTTAGTTTTAGAAATATATTGATAAGGGATATCGGTATGCAATGCCTTAGTTATCGGGGATTCGACAGGTCGCCGATGCTTTTTAGTCTTTGCAAACACTTTTCAGGAGAAAATACTCGTTTAAAGACCTTTGCCTCACGATGGTTGTTGACTCGGGTCATAATTCTAAGGCGGAATGTACGCTCTCGCAGTCCCATTCGGGGTTAAAACTACTTTTTGAAAACAAATAAATTCTGATTTCTTTTAAAGCGCTTTCGCTGTGTTTAAAATCAATGCCTAGTTCTTACTATCCGGTTTGAACCTCAGCTTTTGCGTGCCGGATCGTGCCTTAATGAATTTCCCACTTTCGTGGCAAAACTACTGTAAATAATTTCTCGCTTTCGCGACGAAGGTTTATTTAGAAATTTAGATTAAAAACTACGACCAGAAAGATTGTTTGTAAAAAGGGAAGGTGCACCGGGTATTATCGCATCCTATCCTACTAATTCGATTATGTATCGATAAAACTAATTTAGATAGACATGCTAATTAATGCAAATGGAAATAAACATAAACAACACAATAATAAAATATGCATTATGACGGAAACAAAATAAATATTCAATTAATAGAAACCTGTAAATCGTACTGATCTCGTATCCTCGAGTAGTCCTCCACAATGTCGGCAGGATTCTACCTTGGCGAGAAGTAAAGGTACAGGAAGGAAGTAAAGCGGTACAAATGAAAATAAAAAGGAAAGGAAATGAGAAAATAATGCAAGAATGTAAATTCGGCTTCAATGGAAATTTCGGCAGCACTTCGATACGTCGAAGCCCCCCCCCCCTCAAACTGTGAATCTAAGGCCTATTTATAGGAGATATTTCATTTCTCAACTTCCAGAGATCATGAGTGAGTTATGGAGGGAGTGAGAGTAACTTCCAGTAGTGGGCAGTGAGTGGAGAACGTGTAGGAAGAAATTTAGTTGAGGATCGTGCAGACTTCTGTTTTATTCTGATACTTGGCTCGTGACGGTCGTCATGGTCTTGTGACGGTCGTATTGAACGTGACGACCGTGATGGTCTTGTGACGGCCGTGATACTCGTGACGAGCGTGAGGAAGCTGTGACGAGCGTCACACGCACAAAATCTGTACTTTCTGTTTTTCTTCTCAATTTCTTTCTTTCTTCTTTCTTTTCCTTCCATTTCTTCTTCTATTCTTTCTTTAATCCAAATTCTCCACAATCTGCACAACGAAGTAAATTAACCGTATAATAGAACATAAATTAAGATTAATTAACAATAATCGCAAATAAACTTATGTAAGTCGAGTCAAATAAACGATATGATTTCGCGTCATCAAATACCCCCACACTTAAACCATTGTTTGTCCTCAAGCAATCAACCAACACGGTAAAAAGAAATGAGCATAATTCGAAACAAAAACATGATGAGACTCTAATCATACGTGGCTGCTAGGCTAATGTTAGATTGATAGGTACTAAATATCAATATCAAGGATACCGTAACGACACAATTTCAAAAACTCCCTACTTATGCAGACCAACCTGAATCATGCCATTATAACTCAACCTATATCTCATGCTCTTTTTCACCCCATTTCATTCTAGTGCAATCACATTAAGCCCGTTATCCATACACATTCATGGCAAGTAAACCTGTTAGTGACTATAATCTCATTGTTATTTCATTTTTTTCTGCAAATATGCTTAAGCATCAATTGAACTTAAAGAGTGTGTACCGTTGGGCTAAGTGATCGGGTGAGGAACACCTAACTTAGAAGGAACATGTCTTTTTATTCATAAATTTTTTTTTCTTTCTTAATTTTTCTCATTTTAAACCAGAGATCATACACTTATTTGCATCGGTTTCTTACTTAGTGTGTTTAGGATGGTGCTGACTGCTTAAATAAACTACTTTAGGGATTACTAAAAACTGGAGCTTTGAGGTCTCGGCATAATGGGTACTCAAATTGATTTTGCATATTTAGGGGGTTAAGGGTGTCAGGATGATATCGATTTTATCAAAACTTTCCCAAGTTTTTCTTAACATAGCATGAACAACCCATATACTCTCAGAGTACCATGTCATGAATCGGAGCAAAAATTGTTGGAAGGTAGAATTTTGAAAATTTGGGGAAATTGAATAACAAGCGAAAACCACGCATAAAGACTCGACATCACATGCAAAGACTTTGACATAACGTTAAAATAGATAAAAAAAACAATAAATCAAATAAAAAAGCGATAAAATGAAAGCGGTACCTCCCTCACACTTAAACCAAACATTGTCCTCAATGTTTTAGTAAGAGGTGGAAAAAGGAAAGACAGAACCTGTATGACTGCTACTGCGTGCTAAATCCTCTTTGATCCTGCTCTTGATATAGCTAAAGCGTAACAGGCGATACATTTCTTTATTTTCTACGAATTTAAACAAACAAATTAAAATAAAGACCTTGTGGGTTGCCTCCCACACATCGCTTTGTTTAACGTTGATAGCTTGACGGCTAAGGAGTGCAAGTACTCATGGTGGTTCTTTCGGGAATGGTTCCTCGGACGAGCTTTGAATAGTCTTCGGTTTCCATGGCCACTTATCAAGCCATCTCCCATATCCCTTACCTTTTATTTTCTTTCTTCTGTAGGGTGGTTCATTGTTTTGAACTTGTGGTGGTGGTTCTGAATATATCCTGAGTATCAGTTTTTCAAATTTGGGCTTAATTATTTCATCCACCACCTCAAAAGTTAATCTTACCCTTTTAGCAGTAATGATGACCCTAGTTTCATGGTCCTCGAATTTTCCTTTTTTATGAAGGACCTTAGACAGAGGTGCATTGGTGTGGATATTTTTCAATACCTCCACATATGTTTTGGATTGGGAGTCTACCTTAGATTCCACAACCCTTTGTGGGAAAGAAATAGGTGGGGTATAGGGAGGAGGAGACCCAATAGGTGCTTCCTTCTCTACCTCTTCGAAAACCTCCCTTTCGGGTGATGTCGGTGGATTTTTCTCAATATGTATGTCTTTCTCACCAAAACTCTCCTCAGACTCATTATCACTCTTACTAGGATTTTCTATTTGTTCTTCATTAATGGTTGTTACAACATTCACATGTCCTTCTGGGAAGGGTCCTAAAGGTGTTAGTGTAAGCAGGGAGGTTTGAATCTCCAAAGTCTCGCTGTGAGCTGCGAGGGAATCGACCATATTGCTCATCTGCTTGATATTTTCATTAATTTGGAGACGTTGTTTTCTAAAATCTTTGTTTTGGAGGGTTTGTGTCTCCACAAAGCGCTCCATCATAGATTCTATCCTGGAGTGAGTAAGCGTCGCATCGAATTCTTCTAGTAATAGTTCAAGGTTGGATGTATCAAAATCTTGCGGTTCCTCACAATATTGAGAGTGGTAATTGTAGAGGGAATTTGGGTGAGAATGCGTCGTATTTAAATCTTCTAATAATATTTCGAGGTCAGATTTAAGCGGATCTTGTGG